GCGGGGGTGAAGGTGCCCTCTCACGCTCAATGATGCGAGTGCGAATGCGCTCTCGCTCCTCAACTGGAGGGGCGGGCGGAGGAGAAGGCGACTTTGGTCGCTCAACGTATCTGACAACACGGGCGGGCGAAGGAGCTCGCCTAGGTGGTTGAGAGGGTTCTCGGACTCGCTCTCGCTCATAAACTCTGGTGCGAGATCGCTCATGCTCATGGTCGTGCGAATGATGGCTGCTGGGCGAAATGCTGCGGGGTCTTCGAATGATGCGTTCCTCTCGAACGCGAACTGGGCTGGGACTTCTGGGTCGGTGTCGGTCGATGGTCTCTACTTGACGCTGGCGCAAGACCATGGGACCAGCTTCTGTTCGGCGAGTATCTTCTCGCAAAAAGGCAGGTGTGCGAGATTCCTCTCGCGGGGGAGGGCTGATGGTAACGGTGCGACGACGATAGTCGACTTCATCAAGCCCCTCTGGAGCTGAACGTCGAGGAGCAGGGTAGTAATCCCTCTCCTCGAACTCAGTAGCCCTTACACGGGACATTTTGGTGTAATGAAGTGCTGTTTTCTGTGAATGTGTATATACCGCTGCTGATTTTGGTGCACTTTTGAGGGCGCCAACTCAATTCAACAGGCTGTTGGGTTGCGACAAAGAGTTGCAAAAGGGTATGTCGTCACACTTTAAACAAGGTGGGGTTCCAGCGACGAGCCTCAGACTTGGTGAGGTCTTGTTACGAGCCAGGCGAGAAGCAAAGCTGCAAACTACAAACCCAAAACAATGCGATGCGATGTTTTCGAGGTGATAAGAGAGGAGAAGAAAAACAGTAGCCAAGAGAAATGGAAGAGAAAGGGGAAAAAGAGTTTATGAGTGTCAGGTGGGTTTAATGGTGTGCAAGCCGCAAAGCGCCGCAAGAATCAGGCCCCAGACGAGCAAGGACGGAGCATGGAAGCAAAGCAGAACGTCGTCATCCGACATCAATAATGAGAGGGAACCCCCCGCCAACAATAGGGTGTCAGCCGTGACCTTGACCTTACTCTAGTTAATGGAGGGGCTGGGTATGGGCAGTGCTGATGCTGGGCTGGGCTGCTTGAGCAATCCAGTGTCAAGATGGGAAAAGCTGTTTGTAGTGGGCAAAGCGGGGACTTCTGCTCCAAGGTTAGGTACAAGATTGATGATGGTGGCAGCGGTCCGCAACGGGAGAACTAACATAAACGATGATCTTTTCGCCTGCTGCACTTTCGTCGAATAGTATGTAGCAAGTCTGATCGAACCTCTATCCAAACGTTGACCGTAAACTCGACAACTTCAGAGGAATCTTGCCTGGTGTGGACATCAACGAATGACCACAATACCCAGACTGACAGACAGTACTTATCCCCGTCCAATGATCCATCAAGTCCCGGAAGCAAGTCAGTCTGCCTGCCTTACGACCCCAAACACGATGAGTCTACCATGGCGGCCCAATGAGACGGGCCCTCCTCCCACGCGAAGCATTCAGATGGAGGGTCAAGCGCAGCCAGGAAAAGGACATGAGACCTACCAGCCTGACAAACTCTACCCAGAAATTGTCTCTGCCCAAGGCCCCATCAAAGATAGTCCCGTTTTCCGTTATGGATTTCATCGCCGTTGCCTTGTACGATTCTGGGCATTCGTTGGGCCTAATTTTGTATCTATCGATCCGTGTTTGCTCTGCCCTTTCTTTGACGACAACAAAAGCTCGTTTCTTTGACATCCAAAGCTGGCTGTGGTGTGGAGATCTACTGACGCAATTGTGCAGCAGCTCACCCCGGCATTTTCTGGTCCTTGGCCCCAGTGCATTGCGAGATGGGAGCCAGAACAGGGCTCTCAGACTGCCCCCCTGCGGCGCCACGAGTCCATATCAGCGAATAAAGTGTAGGCTCGAGATGCAACTCGGTGAGGTCGACAAAGAAGGTACAGATATCAATTCTAGCCAGAGAGATAACAATTGTGCTGAGCTTTGCGAAAGATGCGCGAGTCTATCTCTGTCACATAGAGTTGCATGCAAATCATTGCCCTTGGGATCGGCGATGGAGGTCCAAGTCGTTGTTCCGCTCAGTTGGGCATTGAATCTCAAAACGAGTGGTCCCGTCATGGACTGGGACTGGGGTCTCAAAGAATTACTGAAGATCCTTGAGAAACATTGCACCAAACTTCCAAAGTCGCACTGAGAGCCCAACGAGCCGTCGAACTCGAACCCCATAAGCCGCCATCCTCAGCTATCAGTCTAGGGGAGGAAAGAAAACACAAGACCTTGATTTTAAATGACAAAAAGACTTAGGTATTATAGCCTAAGCTTAGGATAACTTGTACCGAGTTTATTTATGACACCTGTATTGAGGTTCGCTGTTTTCTTGGCCCCCGAGGGTCAGTTCCTGGTCGAAGCCCTTTCGAGTCGCTGAGGCATCAATGCTGAGCATCTGCCGTCCTTCCATGGTTCTATGGCTGTCTGTCACATGTGACATACCCAGTACTGCTGCACAGACCACGCAAGTTTGCGTGCCAGGCAGGGTTCATGACTGGGTATGTTGGTTCGAGTTGGATTCGTCTAGATTGTTCTCCTGAAACTTGACATTGAGGAAATGAATGAACTATTAGAGAGTCCATTGGTCAACCTCCTTCAAAATCTTCTTATGGCATAACGCATCAAACTTTAGACCAAGCTTTAGGTAACAACTACTTCCTAACTGAATCCGTCTCTGTATCTCAGGAACATATACTCAGCTACGAATCCCACAGTCATCGAATTGGACGGCTTCCGTAGCTCAGTTGGTTAGAGCGTCGTACTAATACTTCATTCCGAGTATCCGGTAATGCGAAGGTCTCAGGTTCAAGCCCTGGCGGGAGCAATCCCAATGCCTTCCAATTCGTATTTTTGATTCTCAGACATCTTAAACATCTCTTAAGATTCTCTTTTTGCGATTTTATTTTTCTTTACTATATATTATATATATAAGTTATTATTATAATAAGTAAGCTATTAATTAAGCTATATATTTTAGTATATTTATTAAATTACTTTTTATTTATTTATTTTAATTTATTAATCTTAGCTTAACTTATTTAAAGTATAAATAATATAACCTGCTTAAGATTTAGTAAATAGTACTTACTTATCTTACTTATTAAGCTATAAAATAAAGGATAGTAACCTATCTAGAATAGCTAAACAACTTCTAAAAACGTGCAGCCTAATGCTCTCTATTAAAGGTCTAGGTTGGCTGGCAGTAGGTTTCGAGTTACAGTGCTCTAGATATATAAATGTCAAGTAGTAGACAACATCTTGTGACAATGTCTCCGGAACTATATACTATACAAACCATGAAACTATACTGACCCAATATAAGGATGTCAATTATAGACAGCTCGACTTATATATCTAAGAATACTCAAGGAATAACCTCCTGAAGTACTGACGCTGCTGGGATTTCCGGGCCATTGTAAACAATTTCCGGCTTTGTAGATATCGGCTGGAGGGACCACAGCGCCCATCTCCTCTTCATGATCCCTTCCGACAGTAGAAGAGAATACAAAGGGTAAGGTCTCATTCGCACACTGAGATAGATACAGCCGGGACCATGTATCTCATGACTCGTCCAGGAGCATTGGCAGCAACTCATTGTCCAGTATCTCAATCGGCAGCATCTTACTCAAGCACAGGTACTTTGCAGACCGCTTGAATACGGATTTGCTTACTACTTCTTGTCGACTTCAACTATGCTGGAAGTGCTTGGGGGGTGTAGATTCGACTGAAACACAAGCTCTTATCAATCCGTTGATGAGATCAAATCCAGTAATGACACTTCTACAGGCGCACGGAGACTCGGTATTTGTCGAAAATTCCTATACAGTATTCCTTACTTGGGCTATTTCTGCTACTTGTCCAAGAAAGCACTACAGATGGAGGGATACAAAAAGAACATACAAATAAGAGTGTCATTCAAGACCAACATACCAGAGATAATTGCTTGAACGCCTAAAACTGATTTCATTCATACTGAGCTATCATTAAGAATAAAGGTGAGAGAAAAATGAGGTAACGTCAATCTGAACATGTCCTTGTAACCAAAAAATGACGCCCCTCTACAGACCACGTTTTGTGTCCTTTGCGATCAATCCTGTCAAGCTCTTCTCCGGCTTAGGGTAATCAGGACGGCCAGCTAACATGTCTACTACCTCTGACAGGCCCAACCAGTGGGCAGTCGCAGGTCGTCGGTTGGGCCAATCTGTGCCGTGCTCCTCCAGCTCCTCCATTGCGTTGAACACGACCTCGGAGCCTTGGATACCAATGACAGAGGCACTCTTGGGGTCCTTCTTGACGTGGTTGTGAGCGTTACGTCCAAAGCCCTCAAGATGTTGGATGCACTTGATGGCCAGACGAACAGCTCGGCAACGATCCATAGCAGAAGGAACACCACCCTGTTGGACATGACCAGGAATACTCTCTCGGCTCTCGAACCGGTCGTGAGCCTCTTCACGGATGATGTCCGCAATGAGCTTAGCATTGTAGACCTTGCTGGACTTCTCATTTACGAGAATCAGACGTCCAGCACGGGACTGGCCCTTGTCCTTCTTGAAAACCTCCTTGAGGTGGTTGACATCGGAGTTGAGCATCTCAAGAGAGATACCTTCCTCGGGGATGTAGACAGCGGAGGCACCAACATCCAGGCCAGCCAGGGTAGCGATGTAGCCTGAGCGACCACCCTGGGTCTCAATAACGAAGACACGACGACGGGTAGCGGACGCTGATTGTTTGATCTTGTCACAGTAGTTGACAAGCTCGTTCAAGCAGGTATCTGAGCCCAGAGAATACTCGGTTCCGGGAACGTTGTTGGAGATGGTGGCGGGGAGAATAACCATGGGGATGCACAGAGAAGGGTATTCCTTCCTGGCCTTGCGCATTTGTGAAACGGAGTGGAAGGCCTCGAAACCACCAACAAGGAATAGAGCATCAAAGTGGTGCTCCTCGATCAGGTTGGCGATCAACTCCATGCCAGACTCACCAGGAAGCTCTCGATTTGTACCAATTTCGGAACCACCCTTGCTTGCCCAACCGTCAACCTCGAGCCAGTCGAATGGGCGGACAGCGCCGATAGGCTTGTCATCGTGATGTCGTGCGAAACCAGCGAAACCGTTGTGAATAGCCAGAGGCTCGTGGCCCTTGGAAAGACAGTACGCAACAGCAGCACGTACTGCAGCGTTCATGCCACCAGCAGGGGCACCAACATTGATGAAGCCAATTCGCATACGCTGAGCAGTCAATTATAAGCAAGGGAACAATAATTCAGATTTGGGTCAGACTTACGTCCTTCTCCGGCAGCTTGGAATCGTCAACCATGACGTTTGTGGTCAACATATACGAGCCCCATTGGTCAGCGAACTCGGCATCACGAAGGGACATGGCCTTCTCGAAGTCTTTGGCGTCAACAGCCTTGGCGAGCTCTTTGGTTTCGGCAACAGCTTGCATTAGAGGCTTGCGAACAATCTTGTTCTCGTTAATAGCGATGAAAGGAGTCTCAGTCTCT